CAACGCTAGTCTTGACGAATTTGTCGACGCATCTGTTAGGCCTCACTCCAAAGTCTTTGCCTTGTGATCGCCATACTTTGTTGTCTCCTCTCGCGTTCCTATCATCTCTGGATTTCCTTGCTCCAGCCCCGCTGTTGAGGAGTTACGACCTTCACAAATAACAGTTTCCGAGTCCCCAACCTTCCGATCCATCAATCAGCAACCGAACTACGATCATGGCCCCCACGAGGAGGCAGCGCCTTCAGACTGAGTGCGGGGATCTTGGACTTCCTACTACGGGGTCAGTCGCACAGCTAATCAAGCGTATCAGAAAACATAAGGAATCCCGGGAGACCCCGATGTCAGACGAAGAGGATCCAGAATCTATGGATGAAGAGGATCTAGAATCTATGGATGAAGAGGATCTAGAATCTATGGATGAAGAGGATCCAATGTGTGATGCTATACTCGTCACACAATCAATGTTTGGCGGAGATGACTACATGAAGATGCAAGCTAAAGTAGCGTTCGAGGAGGAATTAAAAAAGGAGCAACTGGAAGTTGAACATGTGAGAGGAGAAGTTTATGTCGGAAATCGCCGCGGGCTTGATCTCGCCGGTACGAAGGCCAAGCTCAGTGCGCATGAAAGCGAGATCTGTTTTCTTAAAACCCGTGTCCAGGACCTCACAACCAATGCCGAGGACCTCAAAAACAATGCCGAGGACCTCAAAAACAATGTCAAAGCTCTGACAGCCCGCGTGTCCCTATTGTCGATTGCCGCAAAAGACTATAAACGGGTGCGGCAGAGATACATTAGCACCTTCAAGCGAGATCATCTACCGGACATGATGGAGCAATCGGACTACGACATTATCCGAACTGTTAACCAAACCGTGCATGAGGGAGATGTTGTAGTGGACGCCTTCTTGTACGAGGAGGGGGGGAGGGGCGACACACACACATTCCAGGAACTATACGGATTACACCCGGCCATTGTTAGAACTATTGGTGAGTAGCCCTCGCTATCTCATGGGTACCATAAGAACTTGGATAATCGAACCGTGTGCTATGAAACCCAAAATTCCCTTCTCTGGAATAGGGAGAAAAAAAATGCAGCAAAAACACAGCCCCCTTCCCCTTGCTGAGATAAAAAAAAAATCTTAACCTTACTGAGAAAGGAATTCCAATGACAT